GTGTGTTATTGCAGGGGTGTGTGACTGTAGGAACGTACAAAGTGAAGCTTGTAAAGAAAGCTGCTGGGACATTTATAACATCACTTCATCTTAGTGAAGAGCTGCAGCCAAACTAAGCCCTAAGGAGGGAAAGAGTAAACATTAAGCTTAAGAATCATTGTTGATCCAAGTGAATGCTGATGCCTCCTGGACCCAAGAGAAAGAGGCATTAGTTTGGGGAAGGGGAGACACCCAGGATTTTCCATGTCCAAGATCAGCATTTCTCTAGTAAGTGTGATCCATGGACCACTTGTACTGACATCACCTGGGGTTTTTGCTGAAAATGCAGAGTGTTGGCTCTATTCCTATCCCACTGACTCAGAATTTTAGGGGAAAGGGGCCCAAATTCCTATAGCTTAATAAAGCCCCCAAATGAATCTTAGCACACTAAGCTTTCAAACCGTAACTATAGGTAAGATGACAATAGCTGCGTCTTACTGAGCAGTTTTACCATATGCCCACGCCATGCCGAACCCTTCACACAATTGAACCTTACAGCAACCCTTGTGAGGTAGATGATGAGGAAATCTTGCATGAGAAAAATTAAGCTACTTGCCAAAGGTTACCTGGTTAGAAGTGGCGAAGCAGAACTTCAAACTAAATTCTCACCCCAGAGCCTATGCTCTTAGCTCTTGCTGCCTCCCACCGGGCTCTTTTCTCTGATCCTGTGCCCACCAAAAGTTTTCTGTGGGAACTGACCTCTCATCTGCATTCTACGAGGTAGATGTGTCCTAAGAGGATGTGAATATTCTAGTCACTGGGCAGAGACAGCTCCTGTCGTAAATTAATAATTAGTGTCTGGTCTATGCGTTAGCCTTTTTTCAATTGTTGTGAATCAGTTCCAAAGAATACTTGAGACCTATACTTGATATAAAAGTAGCCTGTGAAATTTCTGAACTTATTGTATGTATCCCTGTACTCTAACCTTTGTTCCTAAGAGATTGAACACCTTCCCATTAGTGACAGGAACCTGCTATGACATTGCTAACCAGAGGGCAGGATTAAGGACCTCCTCCTAGGAGAAGCTGGTGGGTACTGAAGGAGAAGAACACACACACACAAGCTTTTACAGGAACTGTGGTTGGTGTGTGCTCACTTCCCTTATTTAATACTTTAAGTCTTATAAGATAGGTTAGTCATTGAACCGCAACCTCTTATTTTCAATTCTGAACCCAAAAGGCTCTGTAAAGCAAGATTACTTTTTTCCTAAGCTTGCAGCAAATTCATTTAGCAGCAAACCCTAACCTGAACTGATGATGTGAGCCTGTTTATAATCCTTATTCATACTTTTCAATGCGGAAATATTAATGTCAATTACAGGGTGCTGCCCTTACCTCACTGTGAGGATGTTTCAAAGCGTATGGTGTATGTGCCATATTGTCTTTCTAAAATTTAAAGAATTTTCCGAAGACTTTTTTGGCCCCAAGAGTTTCAGATGAGAAAGTTGAAGTTACGAGAGTTGTGTTTTCTCAACACATTGCTACCAAGTTAGATAACTAGATTTTTTAAAAGGTCCTATAAGGTTTTTTTTCAAACTCTGCTACATTGTCTTTTAAAGAGCCCACTGAAAATCATTTAGCACATTCTTTGAAGGAAGTCCGTTAGCTTTGCAAATACAGTTGTACAGTTGATCCTTGACAACACAGGTTTGAACTGTGTAGGTCCACTTACACAAGGATTTTTTTTTTTCCTGATATAGAACAGTAATGTAAGAGTCTCTTATGGTTTGTCTCCCTCCCGATCCCATCTTGTTTCATTTTTTTCCCCTCCCAAGCCCCAACGATCCCCCCCCCCACCCTGCCTCTCAAATTCCTCTTAATCTCACAAAACAAACTGAGGGGGGTTACTGGGGGTGAGAGGTAGGTATAGGGTGGCTGGGTTATGGACACTGGGCAGGGTATGTGCTATGGTGAGTGCTGTGAATTGTGTAAGACTGATGATTCACAGACCTATACCCCTGGGGCAAATAATACATCCTATGTTAATTTAAAAAGGGGGGGTGGGAAGAACAGTAGTATAAATGTATTTTGTCTTCCTCATGATTTTTTTTTAAAGATTTATTGTGTAAGAGAGAGCAGGTGAGCAGTAGCAGGGAGACGGGCAGAGGGAGAGGGAGAAGCAGACTCCTCACTGAGCAGAGAGCCTTAAGGGGGGTGGGGGAGGCTCGATCCCAGGATCCTGGGATGATGACCTGAGCCAAAGGCAGACACTTAACCAACTAAGCCACCCAGATGTCCCTCCTCATGATTTTCTTAACATTTTCTTTTATCTAGCTTACTTTATTATAAGAATATGGTATCTAGTTCATATAAACATACAAAATGTGTTAATCAACTGTTTATGTTATCGATTTCCAGTCAGTAGTAGGCTATTAAAGTCTTGGAGGAGTCAAAAGTTATATAAGGATTTTTGACTGTGTGGGAGTTGGTGCCCTTAACCCCACATTGTTCAAGAATCAATGGTATAGTTGTATAAAAAGCTCCAAGAAAAATGTTGTTGATGTTGTTGTTGTTGTTTTTAAGATTTATTTATTAGAGAAAGCAAGTGGGAAGGACAGAAAAAAGAGAATCCCAAGCAGACTCTGTGCTGAGCATGGAGCCCACTGCAGGGCCCAATCTCATGACCCTGAGGTGATAACCTGAGCTGAAACCAAGGGTCAGACACTTAATGGACTGGGCCACCCAGGTACCCAAGACATGACTTTAAAAACACTTTTCTTTTTTTTTTTTTTTTTTTTAAGATTTTATTTATTTGTCAGAGAGAGAGAGAGGGAGAGAGAGCAAGCACAGGCAGACAGAATGGCAGGCAGAGGCAGAGGGAGAAGCAGGCTCCCTGCCGAGCAAGGAGCCTGATGCGGGACTCGATCCCAGGACGCTGGGATCATGACCTGAGCCGAAGGCAGCCGCCCAACCAACTGAGCCACCCAGGCGTCCCTAAAAACACTTTTCTTGGGGCAGCTGGGTGGCCCAGTCTGTTAAGTGCCTGATTCTTGATTTGGGCTCAGGTCATGAATTCAGGGTCATGAGATTGGGATCGACCTTCAGCACAGAGTCTGCTTAAGACCCTCTCTCCCTCTAGCCCTCCCCTGTGTTCATGTGTGCACTCTCTCTCTCTCTCAAATAAATCAGTCTTAAAAAAATAAAAGTCCTGTTGAGACATCTGGGTGGCTCAGTCGTTAGATGTCTGTCTTTGGCTCTGGTCGTGATCCCAGGATGCTGGGATCGAGCCCCACATCAGGCTCCCTGCTCAGCAGGAAGCCTGCTTCTCTCTCTCCCACTCCCCCTGCTCATGTTCCTGCTCTCGCTGTCTCTCTCTCTCTGTCAAATAAATAAATAAAATAAATAATCTTTATAAATAAATAAATAAAAGTCACATCTTTGGGCACCTGGTTGGCTCAGTCAGTTTAATGTCTGAATTTTTGGGTCTTGATTTAGGGTTGTGAGTTCAAACCCCACACGGGGCTCCACATGGGCATAAAGCCTGGATGGATGTGTGGATGGAAAGAATGAATTTAAAGCCATGTCATTGTTCTGTTGTCATGTGATCATTGGTGATGGTTCGAACCTACCTTTTTACCTCTTTATAGTTGTGCTCCAGAGAAATATTATGAATATTTCATTTGAAATAAATACTGTGTTTCATTGTCTTCTGGTAGAGTTGAGTAGGAGAGGGAATCAATGTAATTTAACACTGAGGCATGAAGACTGTGATTATTTCCCTTTATCCTTGGCCATTTAGAAAGGAATCTTAGCATTATCAGAATAAATAATCTGGCATATTTCTCATGGATAAGGAGGATTGTAGTGATAATACTCTCACAGTATTAAAAATTAGAAGAATCTTTGAATCATAGTAAGCTAAATATCTCTTTCTGCTTAAATTAATGTTATTCTCCCCATTTTTGGGTCCAGAATGGCTCCCTGGGAGAAAAAAATAGATTTTTTTTTTCCCAGACAAAAAGTCATCTAAAATTCTCTACTTTAGGCTTTCTTAATTCTGTAAAACATGATATTTTTGCTTAAACATTAATCATGTTCCATTGCTTTTTCTCTTGAGGGATTGTCAGTCTCTTTACATTTTCTTGTTGAATATTAGTTTTATGCATGTATTGTGCTTTGTAAGAGTAGACTAGCCTCATGATATGTAGGATGTTGGTAAGCATTAAGGTAAGTAAACATGTAAAGGATGGCCTGTACTTATTTCCTATTAGACAAGTACTTTAACTGGGATTTAAAGTTTTTCTTTACATAAGATAAACCTGTGGCATTGTGGCGTAATGAAAATCATGTATTTGATCTCCATCTCCAGCTCCTGGCACAGAGCTTCTAAAACACTTGGAATTCCCTAAGTGATAGGATGGGAATTGGTTGCCAGAAGGAACACAACCATGTTAGTAGAGGATTAGACCAGCAGTCCAACCCCTAGCCTCTGGGGTGAGGGGACAGGGGCTGGAGATTGAGTTCAGTCACACGTGCCTATGCAGTGAAGCTTCAGTAACCCCTGAAACAAGGAGCGCATGGATGTGCTGGGAGGGTGGTGTGTCTGGAGAGGGCCTGGAGGCTTGGCGCTCCTCTCCACGCCTGTCCTTGGCCCTGTGCCTCTCTTCCATGTAGTTAACCTTTTTAATAAAGCAGTCAGTGTAAATAAAGTGATTTCATGAGTTCTATAAGTTAATGCAGTGAATTATTGAACTTGAGGGGAGATTGTGGGAACCTTCAGTTTTGTAGCTGATTGGTCAGAAGTGCAGGTGGCTTCTGGGTCTTGCACCTGGTGTCTGTGGTGGGACAGTGACATGGGACTGAGCCCTTCTAACTAGCCCTTCGAGTGGGGTGACTGCAGGTAGGTAGTATCAGAATTTAATTGTAGGATACCCAGTTGGTGTTGGAGAATCAAAGAGTCAGTATTAGAGCACTGTAGGTATTTCGTCTGTTTAACCTGGTCGCAATCCTTTTCTCTTACAGTATCTGACCAAGCAGGTGGAGCTTCTACGGCAGATGAATGAACAGCATGCGAAGGTTTATGAGCAATTAGATGTCACAGCAAGGGAACTGGAAGAAACAAATCAAAAGCTAGTTGCTGACAGCAAGGCCTCACAGCAAAAGATTCTGAGGTAAATTTTCTAGAACCCATTGAGGAAGCCCTAGGGGGAAGTCATTTAGTATAAACTAGAACAGAATGTGGCTGTAGCGGGTTTCGGTCAATATGGGGTATGGTTTAATTTAATTCTTTATGGAGAGTAGAGATTAAATAGAAGTCTTTTCCAATTAAGAAAGCCCAGTTTGAATGGCTGGCAACTAATCTCTCCTCACTGCTGATGCCCTTAATTTAACATGACAAGCAGCAAATGGCTTCTGTCTGTTCCTCACAGTCTGACCGAAACAATCGAATGCCTACAAAACAACATTGATCACCTCCAGAGCCAAGTGGAGGAGTTGAAGTCATCTGGCCAAGGGAGAAGGAGCCAGGGGAAATGTGACCAGAAATCGGCACCCAGCTTCTCGTGTCTGAAAGAGCTGTACGACCTCCGCCAGTAAGAGCCTGCCCTTTTATGGCACTGATGAGCAGGGGGGTATCTTGTGTCCGCGACACATCCTGGACTTCAGTAGATTGAAAGGACCCTTTTAAGAAATGCCACTTGAGGGGCGCCTGGGTGGCTCAGTGGGTTAAGCCGCTGCCTTCGGCTCGGGTCATGATCCCAGGGTCTTAGGATCGAGCCCCGCATAGGGCTCTCTGCTCAGCAGGGAGCCTGCTTCCTCCTCTACCTGCCTGCCTCTCTGCCTACTTGTGATCTCTCTGTCAAATAAATAAATAAAATCTTTAAAAAAAAAAAAAAAAAAAGAAATGCCACTTGGCAATTAGACTACAAGTGATTTGAGCAAAGCCACTTAGACCTACAGCTGGTAGAGTTCTTGGGTATTAGTAATTCTGCAAAAACTTATTTTTGGAGGTCTTGGGAGTATTCATTTCAGTGCTTTTCATGTTAAGTCTTAGCTAAACTAAGGTGCAGTGCTTCCAAGAGACTACAGCTTTGGGGGTTGTGTTTCACATTAGAGTGGAAAAAATCGAAATTTAAATGAGACAAGCTTTTTGCCTACAGAAATGCCTTTATAATGTAGAGTTAAGAGACTGCATATTTAAGAACTGCTCCTTGAACACCTAGTATATGGCAGGTGCTGTGCCAGACAGGCGGAGCAGCAAGTAAAATAGAGCCAGTTTCCTGCCTTCATACATCCAGTCTCAGTGAGAGGCAGACACAGATCATCACACAAATAAGCACAGTTAAAATTACCAACAACTCTGCACAGGAGAGCTACTGGCTTCTGGCTCTCGACCTTGACTGTTCATCACGTCACTTTGGAGTTTTTTAAACAGCAATACCAATGAGTCCCTCAGGCCTAAATCAGGATTTCTAGGTGCCGGTGAAAAGGTGCCCTGGTGATTCTGATGTGCAGGCAAGGTTGAGAACCACTGGATCATTCTAGTTTCCTTGACAGGTATCAGCCATACCTCCGGTCTTTGCGAATGGGTGTTCTGTAGTACTTCTAATATTTATTTGTTTATTTTTAAAGATTTTACTTATTTGTCAGCACAAGCAGGGGAAGCAGCAGGCAGGAAAGAAGTAGGCTCCATGCTGAGCAAGAAGCCTGACACAGGGCTCAATTCCTGGACCCTGGGATCATGACCTGAGCTGAAGGCAGACGCTTAACCCACTGAGCCACGCAGGTGTCCCTCTGTAGTACTTTCAATGGTTAAAAAAAAAATTCACAAAAATTATGTTTTCTTACATGTGTTTATTTGCTAGCCTTGCACAGTTACATTTTAACCACTGCTCTTGTGCAGAAAAGGCAAAAAATTGATCACTGTCACAGTTCCTCAAAAATACTGAGTTGAAAAAAAAAAAATCTCCCTCTTTTCATTCCCAGTTGACCTGTGTATCATATATACCTTTTTTTTTTTGGTAATTTTTCTCTCAGACACTTTGTGTATGACCATGTGTTCGCCGAGAAGATCACTTCCTTGCAAAGTCAGCAAAGCCCCGATGAAGAAGAAAATGAGCATTTGAAGAAAACCGTGACGATGCTGCAGGCCCAGCTGAGCGTGGAGCGGCAGAAGCGGGCAGCCATGGAGGAGGAGTACGGGCTCGTGCTCAAGGAGAACAGCGAGCTGGAGCAGCAGCTGGGCGCCGTGGACGCCTACCGGGCGCGGGCGCTGGAACTGGAGGCCGAGGTGGCCGAGATGCGGCAGATGCTGCAGTCGGAGCATCCGTTTGTGAATGGAGTCGAGAAGCTGGTGCCAGACTCTCTGTTCATCCCTCTCAGAGAACACGGCCAGAGCCTGCTGGAGGAGATGCTCCTGCCTGGGCCGGAGGCACACAGAAAGCCCCTCAAGCGCAGCAGCAGTGAGACGGTGCTCAGCAGCCTGGCGGGCGGGGACGTCGTGCGGGGCCACGAGGAGACCTGCATTCGGAGGGCCAAGGCCGTGAAGCAGAGGGGCATCTCCCTTCTGCACGAGGTGGACACTCAGTACAGCGCCCTGAAGGTGAAGTACGACGAGCTGCTGAAGAGGTGCCAGCAGGAGGAGGACTCCCTGTCCCACAAGGCGGTGCAGACCCCCAGGGCTCTGGCCAGAGACCTGGCCGGGACCAACGCCCAGCCCGAGCCCGGCGCCAGCAGCTGGGAGCCGGCCTCTGCCACCCCAGAGCGCGTCAGTTCCCCCACCACCACGGCCCCTCCGGAGTACAAAGCGCTCTTTAAGCAGATCTTTAGTTGCATCAAGAAAACTAAGCAGGAAATCGATGAACAGAGAACAAAATACCGATCTCTTTCCTCTCATTCCTAATTCAGCCTCCAGCTCTGCTACTAATTTGTCCCCTCCCTTTCACCTCTCTCTCCCAATCCGACAAGTGTTTTGTACTGCTGTGACGTTGGCCTCGTCGCTTGCTTTCTTTAGCAGCTGCGAACAGCAGCGGGGAAAGAAGGTGGCTGCCAGTGTCCGCTCAACAATCCGGGTCCATTTACGCTCCCCAGGAAATCCCACGACAGACTGGCCTCTGGCTGGCGCGCTGACGAGGCTGTGATTCCTTGAAGAGTCCCAGAACCAGTGGACAGTAGATCCATGCTCCTGCGGGAAGCAGGCGTGGAGTTCCTGCGGCGCATTGTAGCTGGTGTGGGGCATATAGGGGCAAAAGGGCGGAGTTGAAACAAAACTAAGGCAACTCCTACTGCCTCCTTCTCAAAACCGTGGAAGTCAGGTGGCTGCCAAACCGAAGTGGCTTTCACAAACACTGTTGGATACTGTGAACTCATTAAGAAGAATGTCCAGGAGAAAGCAGGGGCCTAATCCAAAATAAATGGCATTAACAAATACTCCAAGCCTTGAGTTTTGTTACGTCTGCTACCAGTTGAGCTGTGACTGACAAGTAATCATAACGCATCTAAATCCAACTGAAACCAAACCAAACTGAAAGGCAAGCTCTGGTTTGACCAAAGCCAGCTTGTTTGCACAGGCCCTAGAGGGCCTCCTTCCCTCCATTCAGATGTTTTCACTCAAAGCTGTAGTGGGTAGCATAGGCAATTATGTAAATCATTCTCAAAGTCAAACTAAAGAAGCAAGAGGAAACCCCTCACTCCTGTGTTGTTGTCCGAGGTGGGGAAGCCGACTTGTGGCTATAAGCTGCCCTTGCTCAGTTCCTGTGGTTCCTGGAAATGTTTTTGACTTGCTGCAGAAATTCCTGTCTGCTACTTTACTAAACAGTATTGTCCTGTGGGAATCCACTCTTCTTCTCACTTGTGTACTTTTAATTTAAAACTATTTAAAAGAACTGAAGTTCCAGTTATTGTATATTATTTTTCTAAAAACCAAATAAAACTACCTATGAAAATGAACCAAATGGGTCACTTACTTATTTTAAGCTGAAGCCTTTTTACTGTTATAACCAACTTTACATTTTTTTTCTTCCAACACATAGCTCTGAGATTTGATCATAATTTATTTCCATTTTTCCCCCATTTGGGATTCTCATGTTAATATGTTCACTAGAATAACTATATATGATTGAAAAATACTTTCAAATGTATATACTTTATATATAAATGTTCACTGTTTTAGAAATGTCAGACCTGGTTCTGAATTAATAGCATTTGGCTCAAAACATTTTACCATTCAATTGTAGGAAAGACACTTCACGATATTTAAACATTAAAATGAGCACTGAATTTTTGTTTTGTTTTCATTTTGAGAAGCAGTATGAAGAGTTTGTTAAAGAAAATGATCTTGTTGTCCCTGACCTCCCAGCTCCTCCCCAGGATCAACTAGTTGCTAGTTTCTTGTATTTTCTTCTATTTTCATTTCTTTTTTTTTTTTTTTAGTTTCTTGTATTTTTTTCCAAAATATTCTCTGCATACGTTAGTACATGAGTGTTTCTATCAGCCCATATTCTTAAAAGCGTATACACCACCAGCTGCTGTCACTGTAATTTCCATTTTCACTGAACCGTGTATTTGAAACATTGGCCATCTACAGTCTTTATGATAGTGTGAAGGTATTACATCTGTGGATAGAAACTCCACATGTACATTTAATCAGTGGGTATCGCTGAGGAAAGAAGGTGGCTGCTGGTGTCAGTTCTATAATCCAGTTCTGTTTAAGCTCCTCCTGAAATCCCACGACAGACTGCCCTCTGGCTGGCGCACTGATGTGTGTGTGTGTGTGTATATCACATATCACACACATACATGTGGTATATATATCCATATATAAGAATCCATTTAAGTAATCCCTGTATCTCCAGCCATTTATGAATCTAGAAGATAAAAATCACCAGAAGCCAAGTAAAAGATCGTATTTTGCTATGACCATCTTCCAGGTTACTGAGCCCCCAGCTCCCAGCCCCCACCAATATGGGAGGACACCCAGTTGCTCCCACTTGTGCCAGTAAACTTTCTGACTCTTATGAAACTAATGGAAGAAAAGTGGGGTTTCCTTGTTTAAATTTCATTTATTAAGGTTGATCTGTTAAAGGGCCATGTGTATTGTCTTCTGCCTATTTTTCTTAAGAGCTCTAGCATTGAGGGAATTCGTTTTGTAATTAGGAATTACAAATATTTATCTTAATTTTGCTTTATTGGCATTTTGCCAAGCAAAATTTTTGTGGTTCTATTAATCCTTTAATACATTTTTGTGCTTAACAGGTATTCGATCCACCTGAACTTCATTTTTTTCTTTTTATTGTGGTAAAAATACACTTAAAACAATCACCATCTTAATCATTTTTGAGTGAATAGTAAAATGTTATTAAATTCACATCCTTATGCAACCATCATTACCATTCACCCTCATGACTCTCTTCATTCATTCATTCATTCATTCATTTATTTATTTGACAGAAGGAGAGAGAGACAGCGAGAGAGGGAACACAAGCAGGGGGAGCAGGAGAGGGAGAAGCAGGCTTTCCACTGAGCAGGAAGCCCGATGTGGGACTCCATCCCAGGACCCCAGGATCATGACCCGAGCCAAAGGCAGACGCTTACCAACTGAGCCACCCAGGCGCCCTGACTCTCTTCATTTTTAAACGTGAAACTAGGCCCCTTTAACTCCCCATTCTCCCATTCTCCCCTTCCCCCATCTGTGGCTACTACCATTATACTTCTCTGTCTTTATGATTTTGTCTAAGTACTTCACAGAAGTGGAATCATGGAATTTGTCTTTTTGTGATAGGCTTATTTCACTGAGCATAGTGACCTCAAGTTTCATCCATGTTGTAGCATACTGAATTCTTTTTTAGGGCTGAATACTATTCTCTATGTATGTGCCACATTTTTTTTTTAATCCACCCATCAGTGGACACTTGGGTTGTTTACATGTTTTAGCTGTTGGTGACTAGTGCTGCTATGAACATGTATGCACAAATACATCTTTGAGATCCTGCTTTCCATTCTTTTGGATATATACTGAGAAGTGGAATTGCTGGATCATATTGATCATATTGTAATTCTGTTTTTAATGTGTGTGGGTTTTTTTTTTTAAGATTTTATTTATTTGACAGAGCGAGAGAGATCACAAGTAGGCAGAGAGGCAGGCAGAGAGAGAGAGGGGGAAGCAGGCTCCCCGCCGAGCAGAGAGCCCGATGTGGGGCTCCGTCCCAGGACTCTGGGATCATGATCTGAGCTGAAAGCAGAGACTTTAACCCACTGAGCCACCCAGGCGCCCCTTTTAATTTTTTTTTTTTTAAGATTTTATTTATTTGAGAGAGTGCATGTACAAGCAGGAAGAGTGGTAGGCAGAGGGAGAAGCAGACTCCCTGATGAGCAAGGAGCCCGACGCGGGACTCCATCGGAGGAACCTAGGATCCTAACCTGAGCTGAAAGCAGATGTTTAACCAGCTGAGCCACCCAGGGGTCCGTCTGTTTTTAATGTTTTGGGGAAACTTCATCATACTATTTTGCACAGTGGCTGTTAACATTTCGCATTCCTATTACAGGGCACAAAGTTTCCGATTTCTCCCCAACCTTGCCAAATATGATTTCCGGTTTTTTGATAGAAGCCACCTTAATGGGTGTGAACTGGTATCTTACAGTTTTGATTTGTACTTCTCTGATTAATGACACAACTTTTTTTTTTTTAAGATTTTATTTATTTATTTGACAGAGAGCTCACAAGTAGACAGAGGCAGACAGAGAGAGAGGAGGGGAAGCAGGCTCCCTGCTGAGCAGAGAGCCCGATGCGGGGCTCGATCCCAAGACCCTGGGATCATGACCTGAGCCGAAGGCAGAGGCTTTAACCCACTGAGCCACCCAGGCGCCCCAATGACACAACTTTTGATGTGCTTGGCCATTTGTGTATCTTCTTTGGATAAATACTGGTTCAAATCCTTTGCCCATGTTTGAATTTGTTTTTTTCTCTTGATATATATAGATATAGATATAGATATAGATATCTTGATATATATCAATGTGTATATATGTATCAATGAATATATATATTCATTCTAGATATTAATCTATTATCAGATAATATGATTTGCAAATTTTTCCCCCATTCTGAGGGTTGCCTTTTTACCGTTGTCTTTTTGTTTTGTTTTGTTTTTTAAATATTTTATTTATTTATTTGAGAGAGAGAGAGACGAGAGAGAGCATGAGCGAGGAGAAGGTCAGAGGGAGAAGCAGACCCCCCGTGGAGCTGGGAGCCTGATGCAGGACTCGATCCCGGGACTCCAGGACCATGACCCGAGCCGAAGGCAGTCGCCCAACCGAGCCACCCAGGCGCCCTTTTTTTTTTTTTTTAAAGTGATTGAAAGAGTTTCGATTTTTTAAGATTTTATTTATTTATTTAACAGAGATCACAGGCAGGCAGAGAGGCAGGCAGAGAGAGAGACAGGAGGAAGCAGGCTCCCCATGGAGCAGAGAGCCCCATGCGGGGCTCAATCCCAGGACCCTGGGATCATGACCTGAGCCGAAGGCAGAGGCTTTAACCCACTGAGCCACCCAGGCGCCCCTCTTTTTAAGATTTTATTTATTTGTCACAGAGGAAAGGAGGGAGAGAGCAAGCACAAGCAGGGAGAGTAGGAGAGGGAAAAGGCTCCCCACTGAGCAGAGAGTCCAACGCAGGGGTTGATCCCAGGACCCTGGGACCATGACCCAAGCCAAAGGCAGACAGCTAATCAACTGAGCCCCCAGGGACCCCACCTTTTTACTCTGTTGATTGATACATAATGTTTTTAAATTTTCATGAAGTCTAATTTGTTTTTTTCTTTTGTTACCTGTACTTTTGATGTCATACCAAGAGATCATTGTCAAATCCAATGTTACGAAGCTTTTGCAATATGGTATTAACTGAAGGGTCCAGCTTCATTCTTTAGCATGTGGATATCCAGTTTTCCCAGCACCGTTTGCTGAATAGATTGTCCTTCCCCCATTAATGGTCTTGGAACCCTTGTCAAAAATCATTTGACCATATGAGTGAGAGTTTGTTTTTAGACTCTCTGTATTCCATTGCTCCATGTGTCTCTCATTATGCCAGTACTGCACTGTTTTGATTATGGTAGCTTTGTAGTTTAAGTATTGAAATCAGGAAGTGTGAGTCCTCCAGTTATATACTTTTTTTTTTTTTTCAAGATTGTTTTGGCTATTCAGTGTCCCTTGAGATTCCAT